ATACCCGAAATATGGAAAATATTACTACCAATCAAATCAAGTGAAAATCAGGTGAAAAACAATGGAAATATATAAATGAATTTAGGAAGTCGTGTGATCACCTTGATATGATTATGAGCAATAAATTGTGCTCGAAACGTCATCAGTAAATATTACTGTATAACACTGTGAGACTCTATCAAAATAAAATTTACCCATAATGGAGTTACACTCTACCACACAGTGTCCCAGTTTTATACTTATATCAGTGCAAGGCTACTTTGAATTTCCATAGCTATTAACAGATGAAATTTTTCTGCATATATTCTGTGCTAAAATAATATATGGCAAATGCAAATGCATCATTACCAAGCAAATAAAGTGATCTTTACTCTACTATTTTGGCAGATATTTTTACTTTACCCGCCTATTCGTTTTACCACACTATGGCAGAAGAATTGAGTGGATATGCAAATGAAGTTGAGAGTGAGAGAAAAAGGTGACACCTGGTAATAATGAATAAGCATGACTCTTCACTTTAACTCATTATCTTAAGAATAATTATATATTCATAAACATATACACACACAGACACACATACGCACAAAACCACATAGGGTGGAATCTCCATTTTTACAAACAAAACGTACAAAACGACAGTGAATAGACTGTGAAGTTCAACAATAGCCTCCGAGGTGTGCAAACGCTCCAATGACCTTGAACGCATGTTAATTGTTGGCTACTGACACCTGTCATTATCTTAGCTGAAATACCAACACTATTCTACCAACTTAGATGCGAATTTCAACGAGATCACGCCTTTAAGTACTGTTTAGACAATGTGTTAATTGCTCGATAGGGTTAGGATTAGGATTAAGGTAAGTAATGGGGTGAGAGTTAGGTTTACGGTTATGGTAAGGGTTGTAATTAGGTATTACTGTTAAGTTTAGGGTTACGATAAAGGAAAGATTTAGAGATGATGTCATGCATTTAAATTTGTTTTATTATCCACATTTTCCTGGTAAGTGGTCGTCGATCCCCTTACTACAAACCATAGTAATTCAAATGAGGAATTTTGGGGAAGACTACACATGAGGAGAAGATAGATAGAAGATTCACAAAAATAGCTCATTTTCAGTCATCTCGGTACAAACATGTAGAGAAATTAGTCTAACTTAGCAACTAACACTCCTCATTATAACTGGGAAGTATTTTCAAGTCATTTCAGAGAAAGATACCCTTTTTAATGTGTTTTCCTTCATTTTCTTGTAAATATACGCCAATTTATATGCGAAAATCCCTCATTTTCATGGATGATCGGTTCAAGGTCACTCGTGGGTTGGCATTCTTTTTCGATGCTTCTTTTGAACTTTGCCGAATAAACGTCTAGTGTATGGAAGCAAAAATCCATGTCTTACAATGAAAACTCGATTGAATTTTACTTTAGAGGCATAATTCCCGCTGAGTCAAGCATTTTCTTAGTAGTTTATAATGGATACATAAAAGACCTTCAGAAGATCTGGAATTCGTAAAAACTTTCTGCGACATATCTTTGCAAATCAAAGATATATTCATATAATAAAACAATAGACAGCTGGCAGAACAGGTAAGAAAGATAGGAATTGAGGTGAACATAGACCAACACAGATACGTCAGTCGCCATCAGTGAGAAAATAAGAAAGGTAAATCGTCTTTTTCAGTTACCTTCGGGTAGTACAAAGGAAAATGTTAAAGCCAGGATTGGGAGGGCAGTACAGGCGTTCAGAGTTGGCGCCACACGATAAGCATTACTAACAGCCAACTGGTGATTCCCAATAATGGCTGTCTTCACTCTATGATGAAGATCAGTTTTCCGGTCAGGATGAATAACTAAGAAGCAGGGAAGTCTGCCGGAACCCAGCTAATGACAGACCGTTAAGATAATTGATAGTAAAGGAGATGTTGGAGTAACGATATACGACAGACCATCCAGTGAAACTCGAATGAGAAGCAACAAGTTATTCGTCCAACATTGGCATGGAGAAGAACGTTTGAAAAGTAAATGAATTCTTGTTAGATATCACAGGGTCAGTTGAAAAACACATAATGTTTAGCTTGAAGCCTGCGTTTCACTCAGAATCTAATCATGTTTACCTATGACTAACTCTACAACTTCAGGTGAAAAATTGCGTTCCTCTCTTATTCTGAGTAGGTATTAAGACAGTTACTTTCCTGAGTTAATAACAACTCGTTTATGATGCGACGGTCTCCCAAAGACAATCAGTTACGGTCAGTATCTACATATATGCCTGAAAGTCCAGTTGCCAGCAATCACTACACATACATGATAAGAAAATATGACCACATGAACGTTCACTGCATTATTTTCCATGAGTCTTCATATTGTTATTTGTGAACATGTTGTACGCTGTTTTCTGAAGTCATCTGTAACTATAATTAACCTTTTCAGTGTATATGCTTTATTTATTTGGCTTTCTCTAGTCCGCAGCTGCCCTTTGTATCAGAGTTGGTTCATTTTGTGATCCAGAAGAAGCACAGGGACTGTCACATCTATTGGAGCATAGTATGTTTATGAATAAGTGTTTTTACGCCATTACTATTGTTTTCATTAATATTATTATTCCTTTGGTTTACAAGTGGAACATAAGACTTCAACAGCACATCCCCACTTAATCCTGTTCTCTGCAGGTTTTTTACAGCTGCCTCCACGACTACCCATAAGTTCTCACCTCCTCTTCAAACAATCTCTTCCATGTCACCCTCTGATCCAAACACGACTCATGGTTTCCTATTCTAATTCCACCTAAGAGCCCGGCGCGTGGTGTCACTCAACAGCCTTAACAATAGGCGCATTTTCGTTTCCTTCTGCATACTTATTGAGTAACAGGTTCTTAACTAAGTCGTCGCCAAATAGCATTCCATGTTGCTAATCCTTTCTGATCGTCCATTTGACTACAGCTGTTGTTGAAAGTCTGAAGTGTGTTCGGAATGCTGTTGTTGACATGCCAAGTCTTTGAAGTATGTCGAAGAACCGAGGAGATATACCTTAGTGTTGAAAAGCCAATTCTTAGTCCTTATGTGAATAGTGGAGTAGATACACTGACTGACATCAGATTTTTGCCGAACTTTTGTCTCTGACTGCCTGTTGTTGATCAAAAAGAGGTAACCTCCTTTAGATTTACACCTTTCAGAAAAGCATAAGGGTATGAGAAAAGTGTAGAAAATGTGTTTTTATTGAGTAACTTAATCGCTGAATTCTCACTTTTCAGCTTTATTCACATTTCTAACAGTAAATTCTATATCATCTGACTACTAACCAGTACAGAATGATCAATAGAGAGAAACGATTCTACATCAAAAAGGAGTAATATAATTCTTTGAGTAGTGATCGTATGACGACTTTTTTTTAACAAAAAAAAAAGCAGTTTCACATGATTCAAAGTATTAAAAGAGATCAGATTAGATTTCGGATGATACAGCCTACTGACGGAAGTTGAAATTAATCACGTCACTCTACTGAAAAAAAGGATCAGTTGCTGTATACTTACCATTATTTGCTTAGCCACTTTGATGTTTGTTACAATCTAATCGTTTTATAAGTATATTATAACACTAGAGTGGACCGAGATCACATGACAACCGAGTGATATTCTTTTGGTATGACTGAAAACGGTTTTCAACCGTAGGCGACAAAAATCATGTAAACCATGGGATTTGTGAGGATTTGGATTAATTTTGATTTTAACTATTAAATCGATGAAAATCAGAGAGCACTGGACAGATGTTTTGTCATATTTTTTTGGGAATCTTCAGAGATCCAGCCTGGAACCTTCATGCTGTAACATCAAGCACTTTGACCGCTCAGCCATTTGAACTGCTGCTCAGTGACTCTTGATTTGTATTTCTTTTTTCAATCCGATTCTTACCAGCGACCGCCCAATTCATTTAGGTAGTTATCTGGATTCTAGTGAGAAGTCGTGATTAGTGGAGTACAGCAGGTTGGGTGTGAGGACAAATAACAATAATAATTTGCTTTATTCGAAAACAGTACTTGTGGTACAGAATGGAATTCTCAACATTTTTACTACAGTATTGCATCCTGTTGGTACATTATCAATAAATAGAATTCTACATAGATTAAAGAAATCTCAGTTCACTATGACAACAACATATTAGCATGTCGGTAGCAAAGGTAAAGCTGAAACAGTGTTTGAAGGCGTTAGAAAAGTAGGAGCTATCATATTTACTGACGTGAGCGAGAGAAAGAAACAAAGCAGCACATAACGGAAAAAATGAGAGAGAAAAGGAAAAGAAAGAAAGAAAATGTTGTACCTATAAATGATATGAGTTGGAAAGACAAGGTCCAGTTATTCTACTGACTATTTAATGAATTATAAGTGTCACGCCTAATGCTTTCTTTATGGCACAGAACACGAGCTAAGTAGGGTATGGTTGAGTTTTTGTACTTGCTGGTGCGAGCATATAGTTTTCTATATAGGCTTCTGGTTTTACCTGATGAGATTCAGGGGGAGATTTGTGAGTGAAGAGGGTGGTGTGAGTTAGATAAAATGGATTTGGCCCATTTTGCACATGAGTCCATGTGCCTGTCAACCAGAATAATAACAAGCTGTTTAAGTGGCACGTTGCTTACCCTGCTGACAGCCCTTAAAATCCTGCGTAATAAGGTATAGTCTTTCTTCAGTAGCCCTGGAAAAAAACTAAGCGGGAACAATAGAGAATAACAGGCAGGATGCAAGAGTTAACGAATCGTAGGAGTAAGGGCTGGGTTATTCCAGAATGTCTTAACTTCTCCGTGTAGAAGGTAAGACGGAATATTTTCTTAGAAATCGCCAAGATATGAGACGATCAGGAAAGATACAAATACCGGCAACCGATGACATTGGCCAGTGGCAGTCACGCTATATCGCGAATTGACAGAAGCTGGGATTCATGTGTAATTAGTGGCCTTCCGGTTACAAACCAATCTCATAGACCATTAACTACGAGACTGCTTCGTAACCGGAAGGTCAAACCTCTTTGGTGCGTCCGTACTGATGAAAAGTCTCAAATCAAGACGAAACAGCCGTCCAGTACTTGCAACTGGTTTTCCAATGTCTCTTTAACCGATGATAGCTCATGAAGATATCCTGTAACCAGTCAAGTCAAACCCTCCATACCAAACACCTGAACTTAGATTATGCATTTTTGTAGAGATCTGGAATAATATTAGTGTAAGTTTTGCCATGAACCAATGTTGGTCAGAAAGACCTTGGAAAACAAAGGCAGCACTTAACCGACGTTTCGTCCATTTTTGGAATTCCTCACTGGCGAGCATCCACAACCTCACAGAGTTTATAAATACCAATCTCCTGCTCATTAACAGATGTTGGTTTCCCTGAGACTGTACTGATAAGTCGTGACCAGTGAGGTCAACCATGTCAACGTGGAGTGGATGCTCATCAAAGTCACTGGTCACGGTGGTGCTATATCGCGAACTGACGAGTTTAGAATTCATGGGTCACTGAATACCTACCCAAGTGGATAAATCGTCAAAGAACTTGGCCTTGAACCTTGTTCGATCCAATGACTGGTGCAAAACAGATGCGCGGCTTGCTATGGTCTTCAGTTATCTGTCTAACTGATGCTAGCTTATGGCAAAATCTAATAACTGAAACTGAGTGATTAAGTTTAAGATGTGCGGATCAGAGGGTGCTATCGGTTTACAATTCTACGATGACTAATACATCTTTAAATATCCTGTTCTGTGCTATTACTGTTAACTTTCAGCTACCCCACAAAAAAATATGAGGAGGAATGAAGAGCATGAGAACTGCAGCTGATCGACTCAGTTCCACCTTTTACCTCTTCACTACTTCAGCTCATTTTCTTAATATCTCCATATTTCTGTTTAGTATGATTTACGACATTCATTCAGTTGCCAGTGATAATCGTCCAATTTTTAATTCGTTATCAATAATGAGTTCGATAACGTTTAGGTCTGAAGGTAATGACTACACCAATTCGTCAGTAGGAAGAACCCAGTGTCATATGTGTGCGTTTAACCCTTCTTCTAACAGTCAAATTTACAAGAGTCTTCTGAACACCTTAAGCAACAATATTCATCTCTTTGGAATGCGATTCTCTCCCGCCAAATGCAAGATGATGCTATTGCACTGGATTACGCTGACCACAAGCGTAAAGGTAGAAGTTGCTTCAGTCAGTCCAAATGAGTTGACTGCTGATGAAATATTAGCACGCATACGGAAAGCTGTCTTGGAATACGCCAAATTACGCCATCTATGGTGTAGACGTGATATCCGGTTGGGGGTTGACCAAAAGCGTGTGTGCTGATCAACAGATCGTTTTGTCCTCCCTTATAGCTGGCTGTGCGACATGTCCATTGAAAGTGACAGAGACATAGAAAGGCTAGCTGCCTTTAATCACAGGCGTCTACTTTCTTTCTCCCGTGTTAGGTGCCAGGTGTATCACGGTAAGCAATATTGAAGTTAGGCGTGGAGTGCTAGTTAGAGAGGGGAAATCAATCAACGAGGCTGTGAAGCAACATCGCCTGAGATGATTACGACATGTGTTACGCATGTGTGATGTCTAGCCATCGCCTTCCTCGACCTATGGTCAATGTTAGATGACACAGGATGCATCAAGTTGGATATCAGCTAGTGGTAGTCAAATTCAAACAGGGCATCAGTCAATAAAATCCACAAAACTAAGTTCAAGCCGGTCATGTTGGGGGGGGGAACTGCTGACTTGCCGGTTGGGGTCCTCGGGATGATAAAACAAATGAAGGCTGGAGACAATAGGTGATATGGTTGGCTCAAAATCGTTATCAATGGCTGGTGCAGATGCATTCACTTTTTGTGATTTATTATATCCAATAAAATTCCATTGTTCTTCCATATTTCTACTCTTTTCGTCCCACATTTTTGTTTATTATCTCTTTCTTTTGAATCTCTCTTTACTCTCTTCTCTTACTCTGTGTGCCAAGTGGAGGGAGTGTAGCACTTCGAACTGCTGCACATCAGTACAAAGTTCTACGTTGAAACCAGTTAGTCAGTCAGTCAAATATACATACGGTGACCATTTAACTAGGTGGCTCATCATCTCCATTGTTCAGAGATTCTTACCGACTACCGCGATAGTATCAAAACAAAAATATTCTCCTGTTTTGATTTTGAATGTGACAGTCTTTCTCTAGAACAAATCGTTACATTGGATTTCTAATTTTCTAGCCAATCACTGAAGTCTAATAAATTTACAGTTTAAAAAATAAATCCAGGCTGATAAAACCTTGAGTGACAGAAAGCTGATTTGTTGCTAATATCGTTGTTTCTTCATTGAAGAGTGAGTGATATGACCATTGAATTCATGTGATCTAGTCTATTGATTTTTCGAACACATAAACTCGAAGGTTGAAGCAATTCAATTCACTAATGAATTGGAAAGTCAGGAAGAGGAGCTCCCAATGTTATATTGCAATGTAAAGAGGATAGAAGATGGGAAGTTAAACACTAGTGTTTACAGAAAACCCACACACTCAAATAGATA